CCGCGCCTCCAGAGACACCACTTGCGCCCGTAACTTTTTCATTTCAGCCATCATCTTGGATTTGAAGCCATCATCATCTTCACCATCGTCTTCCTCATCTTCCTCCTGCACCCACAAGCTATAGTTATTTACACACTTTGAAGCAAAATTTCATATTTGAAAACCCAAATATATTACATCGTAATGATCCTTGAAAATCATTTCATTTAGCGTTTGCAAATGAAAGAACCCCGTAGCCTTCCAATTGAGCAAGGGGATGTCATGATTGCCAACACGTTCAGCACATCTCCGTCCTAGCTCTGGCAGAGTCTCGTAGGCCCAAACCTGAAAAACAACAAAAGAAAATTTAACAATAACAATGTGGCAGAATAAGTTGTCTGTCTACAATTAAGAAATGTCTGTTATAAAGGATGAAGTGTCTGTTTTCAGAAACAAATGATTTGTGTTTCATGCAAACTTGACAATACAAACACACAATCAAATATGAGGTGAACATTACCTGTAGGACGAGAGGAAGGCCGTGCAATGTGAACTTTGCATTTTTGTATTGAGGTTTGGCTTTCTTATTCTCCTTAAACCTATCGCCCTGTCCAACCATAAGAGTCTTTATCTGAGAAACCATTAGATTGTAAGACACTTTTGCCCAGGGGTATGCTTTAAATCTGTCCAAATCATCCGCCAATTTCAGAAATTGAGAATTCATCAATGTTTTCTTGTTCCTTGGTATCAAAACACATTGCACGTAAAAAGCACATGCAAGCTTCAGAGGATCACCGCGAGGTCCTGCCTTTTTCGGCTTTAGTGACTGCATCTTTGCTGTCAAGGTCCCAAAACTGATCTCACTCGCTCCACCGAAGAACTTATCTAGTAACATCCCATTGCCTTCATCCAAATCAGAGAAGACCGGAGTTGAACCCATAGAACGGAGCCCAGTAATGCGTTCAAAGTCATTGTAGGTAAACTTTAACAACTTTTCATTGACGCAAAACCATAGTTCATCGTTAGGCTGGTCACACACTAGCCTCAACAAGAGGCTATGGACTATTTGCGCTGAGAACTGTAGCTCTGGCACATCAAGAAGATGGCCCCACGGCATCTTCCGAAACTCATCAAACTGCGCAGAAGTCAGACCCGCTTTCACTAGCTTCGCAGCATCTTTGTATTCAGAACACTGTGATATTTGAGCTGGGAAATGGTCACAGACAGGAATTTGCAATTCCAGAGCCCTATGACATTTCCAAAAATGCACACAAAATGAGACAGACAACTCAATAAGAATGACAGACATCTAGGTAGAACAACACACATTTAAAAATTGTTCACAGACAGCTCACAACACAAGACAAACAAGGATATATGAACAACAAAGAAATGAAAACATGATAGACAATTGTAACGTTGTTACAGACAACTCAAAACAAATGAAAGACAACTGAAAACACGAGACAGACAATTCTAAGCATTGGACAGACAACTACAAAAAAAGACAGACACAGGAATATGAATGACAGACATCTATTTAAAACATCACACTCATGTATAAATTCCTTACAAACAATTCAGAACATGTCACAGACATCTAACAACACACTAACAACATCTCAGACAACTCTTAAATCACATAAAGAAAATTTGGTCTACTTTAATTAAATTAAATCAATTATGGTAAGGTGAGTACTGCACAAGGATGAAGTCATTACCTTTTACCAAGATCAGTTAAACTTGTTCGCACCATGGCTTCAAAGTTGTCTTCTTTTTACTTACTGACTTCAGCAAGTAAAATCTGCCTGCGTGATAATTGAATGAGAGGTCTGTAAACAAATAGTGAAAGAGATGGCTTTGATTACTAAAGTCAATTCCCAAATGTAGAGAGCTAGTCATTGGTACTGACATTGCATTTAAAATGGATCGCTAGTGTATAGTTAAGATTTAAGATATACTCTGCACTACATAACAGGTAAGGTGCAATCTTTTGGATATAATAAAGGAAATTGTATACTAAGCATCATGTGTTGGCAGAAATTTCAAAGAAATTGTAAAGTACAATCCAAACCTGAAAGTCAAAGCACAACAGCCCACAATTATAAAATCAAAGATGACACCTTATATACTGGGAGTTCTTATGAGAGCACCTTATATCATAGATGACACTTTATAAACAAGAATACTTAATCTGCGCCTTTTATTTTTCTAATCAAAAGGCTAATATTTATAAGGTGGAATTTTTGGTAATTACAGTACCAAACACTCTGAGAAGACCCTGACAAAAACCACTATACATTAGCAACTCTAAACCCTATGGCAGTATGGTGGGCTTTGGTTCAGATTATACCGAATAAACTTATAACCTCATAGAAAGTAATTTGAGAATACCCAATGTGTTTGATTAAGGTTGTGGAATGAAATTTCAACGTGTTTGTTTGGAAGTCGTATTTTATTGTGTGTTGATTAACTTATGGAGGAGGGGAAACCATGAATAAGTAGAAACTAACAGTACAACTGAAGGAAAAGGGGAACCATAAACCAAAAAAACCATAACCTTACATAAACATAAGAATCAAGAGTAGATTTTTAAGGGAAAAAATTGATGGTTTTGAGACAAAATTGATCTTTCATCACAGTTTCAAGAATTAATTGAAATGGGGTCAACCATACTTCATGTGAATTGAAAGTTGAACTGATTTTGAAGATGAGATGAAAATAAAAACAACAAAAAGTAAGAAGAGATAGGGATGTACTCTGTACGTATGATGAAAACAGAGACCAAAGAGGGGGGGGGGGGGGGAGCTCGAAAAGAATGAAAAGAAACAATAAAAGGAGAGAAGAATGGGGAGGAGGACCTGCAACTTTGAAAGGGCAGAGAACAGGGGTTGAGTTGAGCTGCTCGATGCACTGAGCCGCCCGTTTGCGTTGAGGCGGTGTGTTGGTCGGCGACTCAGCGTTCGTTTCTCCAGAGCAGAGCAGAGGCGATGGGTTGGGTTGTCCGATGGCAGTCGGAATCGTGGAGTGGGTGCGGGAGTATGGAGCGGGAGTATGGAGCGGGAGTATGGAGCGATGGAAGGCGAAAGGAAATAGGGTAAAATTTTGAATTGGGAAGGAAAAGAAGTGAAGTAAAAAAATAGGGGAGTATTTAAATGGGGTGCCAAGGGTGTACACAAATGGTGTACCCCTAGCATTTTTCATGTGATAAATGTCACTGTTGATACAAATGAACCTCATGTTAATCGAGCAATTTTGGAGGGGCTCGAAGCTTGAAGAAGAAAAATAAAAAATAGAAAGGAAGGAAAATATGTGTCCAAAGGACCTCTTTTTAATTTAACTTTAAGATTTAACTCAAATGAAAATGTACCAACAACTTCATTACATCTTTGTGGGCCATTTAATATAATAGGAATTTTAGTGTATTTTCTAAATATATAAATTTTAATTGTTAATAATGATTTAGGTATTGACACTACTCATTTAATCTTGCCATAAGTTAACTATCATATATAAAGCGCAACAGAAATTTCATTAAGGAATGGAGGAATTAGTTTTTAATTCTTCTAGCAGAAACCAATTTCGAATTTCGCCTAATAAAAATACACCCTTTTGAAGACCAGTTATACTAAGACCATGAGTCAAAGAAACAACTCCAACCAACAAAAACACATGTATACACATAACATTTGACTTGTAAAACAAATTTGAACCAAGGAATTTAGATATATTGATCTTTTGCAGTGACTCAAAATTAATATGTCACTATCTAATCTAATATAGGGGTTGTTTACTTTTTTTTTTTTTGCATTAAGTCCTGAATGGATTAAGATGACTGTCTGGATTAAGACGTCTGTATGGATTAAGTGACACAGAGATAACAAGTTGTTTACTATAGATGCTGAATGAGATGTCTGAATTATGTTTAATGACCAAATAACCCTTCCGTCTGGAACACATGCCGAATGTATATTTCCTTTTTATTTTTTTGCTTTTTTGGAATCTCCACCATGTTTCATACCCAAAAACATCAAAAAATGTGAAGGTCTTACAGATCCATGACAGATCCATCATGCACGAACACGAAAATTGGCAACATGTTATACGGAGCAATAAACAAACAAACTAAAACTACACTGCTCATAATCTGGTGCAAACATGGATGCTAAGCTTAACAAAAAAACGGATTTACAGAAGGCAATCACAATTTCACTGCTCAATTACAGATAATTTAGCTAATTACTCCGAATAATATCATCAATTTACTAGCAAATTTGAAAAATAAACTGAACGAGAAGAGAACAATTAGATTGAGAATAAGGAAAGCCCTGCAATCTTATACTCCGTAAAAGAAATCAAGAAGAGAACAATTAGATTTAGAATAAGAGCAAATACATGGATGAAGACGATACGGAGCTTCTTTCACGATAGATCGCACACAGCTAAGGACAATCACCAAGGCCTTCGGTATTGTCGATGTTAGAGAAACGATGGGATATACAGAGGGATAGAACCGAGATAGTCAATACATGAAGTGTCTGAACGGTAAGGAGTATAGAAATTATGCTGAATAACTAAGTCAAAATATGTCTGACCGAATAAGTGAAGCTCCACATTAAGTCGCAAAGAAACAATGATATATAACTGACCGATTAAGTGATTATATCTATTAAGCCCATTCAGTTGTAAGTAAACGGGGCCATAGTGTGTTTAATGAACACTTCATTGAGTTTGAATAGTTCATAAATTTCTAATAAGTCTTAGATGAATATATGTATTATGTAAGATTGTGATTGTTGAACCAGAACCATATTATATAGTAGTATTTGTGTCTTACATGTGCTCAATTATAACAATCGTCTCCCAAGACACGGTCATTACAGAGTTCAACTGTCAAAAGAAACATAGCACACTTTAACAAATCTAAAGCTCCCATCCACTACTAAGGGAGTGAGGTACGGTCGTGAGGATACTTTTTTACACAATGAAAATGCATTAGTAAATACGTAGTATTTTGCAAATCTCCACCAAATAAAACAAAATAAACAACATGAATGTATTATTTAGAAACAGTTTCATCATTCTGGATTTTGTAGATGTGTATACAAATATGAATAGCTAGAAAGTACATAATAGTTTTTCATAAACTTAATTATAAGTGGCGTAACTATTCCGCATCGCTGACTTTGCATATGGAAATATGAAATTGAAGCTATTGAGCTCATCGAGAAGTTCTCTGTTGCAGAATTTTCTGTCCCATATACCTGCTCAAAAATAAAAATGACCGATACACATTTATAAACCTGGTCGATGAGTTTCATCAATACCTAAAACATACATAAACCATTGGAGAATGGCTTATATATGTGGGATGATTAATGTCTTGAAGCAAATCTGTCTTAATGAAGTTTGTGTGCATAGTTTTTTTTAGGTTTCATCATATCGTGCCAGTTACTCGTTAAAATTTAATTAAAAAAAACTCTCTCATTCATATATTAAGACTCTAAATTCAATTATAAAAGATAAAATTAATACAAAAATTTCTCTAAGTAGGAGTAAAAATAATGTTTATTTTCTAAAATAGGATTAATATGTTTTTTTCCATACTAAATAATGTTTAGTTAGTACCGCCGTATATGGCATTAATAATATTGTCATATTAATGCCTCATAATGCCAAAAAATAGTAATATTTGAGAATAACAATTCTTTACTCCTGTATGGGTGAAAGTATAGTAATTCTATTTAGGGAAAACACATTAATTACTTCTACTCCTATTTGGGAAACTTTTCAAATCAATATTTAGAGTAGTCAAAATCTTATTTGTGAATTTGGTGTCCTTAATTATAGATCTAATCAATTTAAGGTGACTTAGGATGGTTTAATTGAGCTGGTTTCAGTCCTAGATCAAAATATGTCTGACCAGACGAGACCAAATTTAGACAATAGTAGAATACACATAGAACAAACATCTAGCAGACCAGACTTAAACAAACTAAATTGGACCAAACCCGATCAGACTAGAAAACTACAGTTCAATTAAAAACATTCTTAGTCGGCACATCCCTATCACTGAGATTTGTTTGTTAATGTTTTATGGTCAATGTTGCTTGGTTTTGTGTTGTTCACCCATATACTTCCTCCGTTATTTTTTAATTGCAACAGTCCACTTTTCACGTTTGTCAACGCACAAGTTTGACCAGTAATATCTTTCATTCCGTATTAGTAAAAAAAATAAAAAATTTAGATTATGAAAATTTGAAGTGAGAGGAATTTAACAATATTTTTGTCAAATTTAATTTATAATACATTAATAAATCAAATAAAGTCAAAGTAGAACATGTGAATAGTGTAAAAAGTCCAACATTGCATTTAAAAGAGAACGGAGGTAGTATGAGGTTGTGTGTGTGTGTGTGTTTGTGGTTGTCTTATCATCACCTTCCAAGCATCATGAGGGTGGCTTGAGGGTTAGTCCCAGGGGAGGCAGAAAGAGTGGAACCATCAATAACACGTAAAGCATCGACGCCCATGACTTTATAATCTTGGTCAACAACCTTATTGACTTCACACCCCCCATGGTAATGCCATAAAGTCATCACTGTGTCTATACAATACTGCTCCATGGAGTGATGAGCTGGAGAGGTCATGAACAGTCTTGGCCTCATGTTAAAAGGAGTTGTGGCTACAAAGTCCATCAGAGATTCAAATGAGGTGAAAGGGTATTGAAATGACGATAAGGCCCCCGACTCTACCAAAGTCTTGATCACTTCCATGCCTTTCACACATCTCTCAAGGTCCCTTGGGTCTTTGAAGTAGTTAAATGTGACTATGGGATTCTCATTTGGGTCCCTACTTTTCAGCTCTAAGTGCCCTTTAGAGAAAGGGCCCTTCACCTTTTCCAATATGATACCGGCCTCGAACTTCATGTCTTTGAACAGGCCATCACCGAATGAGCCTCTTAGGGAATTTGCTAAGGCCGCGTTTGGGGCCACATACAATCCACTCCCCGTTTCAATATAGCTTCCGAATTCAGTTATGCCAACGACTTGGACAAGTGCTGTCTCCACCGGGGTAGCGGTAGGTATTAAAACTCCATTCATTGGGTTGTCGGACATGCCCTGGCCCACCATTGGTTGGTCCAGTATTACGTTTATCCCTTGAGCTTTGAGTTGATCAGACGGCCCAATACCACTCAACATCAAGAGTTGTGGGCTGCCCAATGCTCCTGCCGAGAGAATGATCTCATTCTTGAGCCCACCGTTCAAGAATGATGTGTGTTCATTGCCTTTGGAGTCTCTGAATGCAACTCCATATGCCACTGGTATTTGCCCTACATTGATGTTGCTAGCTAGTTAATGACGAATATAATTATGGATGAGATTTTTTAACATCATGGGATTGATAACATATATACTATACGTTGTTTGTCCTTGAAAATAAATATTGCTCCGTGTATATATATGTTACATTCTTTACTTACAACTTTATTACATGGCCCTAATACCATTGTTTTCATCGCAGTTTCCTCTTTGAAACGTCCCAATTCAAATCAAGTTTCTACTTCTCTTTTTTGTAATATTGGAGTGGTAAAATGCACTTTTATCCGTATAAAAAGTAAATTACTACGGAGTATGTATTAATTACGTAGTACTACGTACTACGTATTAGTTTTCTATCTTACTTTTTAGGAAGATCGATTTGAAGAATTGATAAAAATGTAATCTTGATCAAACTAAAAACGTAATTATGGGACAGAGGAAGTATTCCACAACAAAACATACTGTATATGATTATAGTACTAATAATTTTTTTGTAGAGCGCGCTTTATTATTTTAAAACAAATTAATTTAAATTGCATTTCCATATGACCTATATTTTTAAAAAGCTGAATGCATAGTTTCTTCTAGTCTTAACCATATGCGATTGTAATGTTTCCTAAGAAGAACACGGATTTGCATAAAAATCATTATGATAAAACAAGAAATATTAAGGGAAAGTATATTTGTATTTATTTGTAATGTTCTCTTGGCTTATTGGGTCTATATTAAACTCCTTGTAAACCCTAATAAGCTCAAACTCTTTGTATTTAAACACTCCTCTAATCATGGAATAACACAACTTTTGAAACCCTAAACACTTTGAATTACTAACAAGAAAGATCAGAGTGATTTTATGTCATCTTGTATTTTCTAATAATTCTATACTTTTATAGTATTCGGAAGATTGGAGGAATAATATAGACACACATCGATCAACTTGGAAGCGGGTCTGCTTCAAATAAGATTTCACATAGACACACACCAACTTGGAATGGCATATTCAATGCACGATTAGTTAGTTTTAGTTAATGCATGATATATACGGATAGCGAGTATTGTCCCTATCATCAGTTTCCATATTTTTCACATGGTGTAATTAAATAAACAAACTTAAATATATTTTTCATGGTAGATTCTATGGTACGCATAAGGTACCATATCTTTGTCCACATGGACCAATGAAAATGTAGCAGTTGAAATATTTAAATCTAAATTAAAAATGATAAAGTGATGTGGTCCAATCAAATGAATGATAGGTATGGTACCCCATATTTTAGAAAGGTACCGGAGTTGTCACCATATCAGATACTCCCTCCTCCGTCCCAATTTGTTTTGCAAAATCAACAATTTTTGGTCAACCAATAATAAAAGTCAACCCTCCGTATGGATAATTAATTCAATTTTTAATAATTAAAATTTACATATTCAAAAACTACATTAAAATCTTTTCAAAGTTTTAAACTCCAAATTATAATATAATTAAAAATTGACATCCTAATTAAGTGAACAAAATGAGACTGTTTGACTAAGAAAAGTCAAATTTGAAACTCTTTTTTAGACGAAGGTAGTATTGAGATTCAAACTGGGATGGAGGAGTATCACTTTTCGATAAAACAGTTTTTTAACCAAACATAAACCAGAACAAGAAGAATATAGTGATCTGACCTGGGAAAGACGTCCTAAACAAGATTTGGTGAACGACGGCATGCAAATAGACAGTAATTTGGGATTCGTCGGCGTACTCCAGCAAATCGGCGGCGGAATGCCGTATCCCATTCTCGTCAAAGATGGAGCTCCCCGTTTTGGTGCCTTCCAAATGCTCATTCGTCCACCCTCTGTCCGGCCCCACCCCCGCCTCCAGCAGCCCTTCTCTCACCGCCGCCTGCCACCCCATCACCCGCGGCCGGAAAGTCACTTTCCTCTACTCCGCCCACCCGTAGGACTCGTTCACCAGCTGCGGGTCCCACCCCGCCTCTGCCACCTCATCGCTGCTGGCTCGCGTGAAGAACCCCTCGTTGATGGCCGAGCCCCCGCCGAGAACGCGCCCACGGTGGAGGTACACGCCGTCGGTGGAGATGAAGTATTGCGAGGCGGAGGATGATGAGGTGTCGAGCAGTGTGGGCCCGAACCCACTTATGTGTTGCACGTTTGGGTTGTCGTACGGCAGGCCGCCTCTCTCGAGGAGTAGTACCTTTGCGGCGGCGGAAAGCGTCGCCGCCAGTGCACAGCCGGCGGTCCCACCTCCGATAACTATGTAGTCGTAGTACCCTGCTTCCGCTGCCGCTGATGTGGCATCTTTTGCAAACGAACTGTATGGAGCTAATTTAACAAAAACGATTCAACAACAAATTATATAAAAGGAATTGCCCCAAATAGGACTAAAACATGGTTAAAACTCCAAAGTAGGACATTAAGTTTACTAGTATCGTACCCGTGCGATGCACGGGACAAAAGTATATATCTTTTTTATAATAATGTGAGGCGCATATTGAAATGTTTTTGTAGAATATTATTATTCAACTCAACATTAAACGCATGTATGATATATAACAAAATAAAACAAATATAAGTTGTTTCATTTCGTAAAACAAACTCTTCGCAACGTAGAAAGCATTAAACATTCTCAAAAATAAATAAAAGATCCGGAGTATTAAACATTCTGAAAAACTTCCGGATATACAACATTTAATGTGGACGAACTCGCTGTACCATCGTCGTTGCAAATCAATATCTTTAACCCTTCACGTTTGGTAACTCGTGACACAGCCACATACAGTTGGCCATGAGAAAACACCGGGTTTTTTAAGAATAACCCAACATGAGAAAGCGATTGACCTTGACTTGTGTTGATCGTCATTGCATATGACACCATTATAGGGAATTGCCTTCGCTGGAACTTAAAAGGCATCCTCACGTCTGAAGGAGTTAAGTTCAATCTTGGGATCAACACTTTTTCCCCAGCTGTACGCCCAGAAAGTATTACAGCTTCAAGAACATGATTTCCAAGCCTTGTAATAATTAGTCGCGTCCCATTGCAAAGTCCCATAGAATGATCTATATTGCGCAACAACATAACTGGAGTCCCAACCTTTAACGTCAACTCGTGATTCGGAACACCAGAACATTTAAGGCTATTCAAAAACTCAAGCGTATGCACATCAGATAAAACATCAACATTAGTGTCTGACTGGCAAGCACTGTCAGAACTAAAGTATGTTTTTGACTCTCGCGTGTTCAATGACATCATATATTGATTGATAGAGTCAACTACATCTAGAGTTGGAGCTAATATAGCTCGCTTCTCTAAGTACGCTGGATCATCATCAATATCAGGAAAGCCAGGGTATGTACTTCGAACTATGGATGCTATCGGATCACTTTCATATCTAAGCAAAATATCATCCGGAATTTCAATTGTTGCAAACCCATTTGATAAATCTCCGATTACACCATCGCCAATACTTGCAATCCATTCAGCGAATTTTCTAATCTCTTCAAAATTACCTCCGGTATCGGCACTTTGCAGCCTCATATTTTTTGTTAGTCTCAAAACCGTACAAAACCTCCACAGATAAGAAGCATTAATAGTAGCACGGACGATATCATTTCGAGAACCTTTGGGAATCACCGGTAATATTTGACGAAAATCACCTCCAAAAACAATGGGTTTTCCTCCAAAAGGCGAACTCAAACTCGTAGGATTGGTGAATTGCAATATATCACGCATAGTCCTATCAAGTGCTTCAAAGCAGTGTTTATGGACCATGGGAGCTTCATCCCATATGATAAGTTTGCACTTAACAATGAGTCCAGCTAACTGACTGCCTTGTTTTATATTGCAAGTCGAATCTTCATTTATATTTATGGGTATTGCAAACCTTGAGTGAGCAGTTCTTCCACCAGGCAACAGAAGAGAAGCTATTCCACTTGATGCTACATTAAGCACAATTTCTCCTTTGCAACGTAGAGCTGCTGATAGCGTTTTCCAAACAAAAGTTTTCCCGGTACCACCGTACCCATATACAAAGAAAACACCTCCAGTGTCAGAATGAACAGCACCAATAACAGCGTCGTAAATAATGCGTTGTTCCACTGTCAAGTTGCATATAAGAGTATCATGAAGTGCTTTCATTTCACTTTTGTTGTACCGCAACTCTTCAAATATCAACCTGTTGACTGTACTCGGTGTTACATCACCATGTGGAAGCGGCATAGGATGATAATCCTTCAAACTTCTCCCATAACTTTGCAACAACCGCTCAATCTCCATGAGTGCCAAGTTTTTTATCTCGTCTTCTGACAGTATCAAATCTACAAACATATGCAATTTTTTTAATATTTATTATGTATATCATTAGAGCTAAAATATAGTTGACATGTAATGTATTATGAAATTAGTTACTACAATAAAAGATGGAATTAAAATATATAATACCTTGATACTGCATCAAGCGACGCTGTCTATGAAGAATGTCATCCGAAAAGAATGTCCAACATTTGTCCCATATATGTTCCGGACGGGATGCACAATTTGATGTCAAAATCGTAACAAATAGGTATCTGAGCAAATGAGCAGATACGGTGTAACTCGACTCATCAATTGCATCAATATACTCCCTATCATCATCCAGTAAACCTCGAGCGTAACACGCATCTCGATAGGTCAAGTATTGTGTGCCATCCAATATTTTCAGATCTTCATGACATGTTGCTCCACGAACTACATTCATAAGGCATCGCATGTAGTATATCTCTCCACTGCCAGGTGGGACATAATTTATTCTACCAATGGAAAATCCTTTTTTCCTTTCCTTCCACTCCTTAGTTTTTGGGTGCCATACAAACCTTTGTGGAAACTCAACATAAGTCAAAGTCTTTGCTTCAGGATATTTTTGGTTCGCTTTAAACCAAGCCAAAAACATGCTCTCTTTCACTGTTTCTCGATCAACCACCTTTGATAGCGAGGAATCGTCTGAAAAATATACATTCTGCTCACCGGGTAAATGCAAACTTAACCTCTCAACAGGAGGATTTCTATATTGAATCTCAAAACCAAGAATTCTCCATGCTGCCTCACAGGGGGACACATATCTACAATCGTAGTACATTTTTATTTCATCCACGGGTTGAGTGGATTCATCGGCGCTTGGACTTTGATAAAATGTAGCAGTGACACGATCATTCCCCTTGTTGACATATTTAAATAAGTACTTTATAGAGCGTGACTGGTTGCACCATTCAACGTTCATATGAGCACCGTATTTAAGCAACAAATAACGATTATGCGGCACAACGAATTGATTGGTCAACTCAACTTCTCCTTTTTTAATTGTTCTTCCATCATCTCTACGTCTATAGATGGGATAACCTTCATCATCAACGGTAGTTTCCCGATTGAACTTCTTGGGAAAGTGTTTAGTGCAACGGCCATTTGACATACACGGTGAGTTTTTTTTAGAAGGCCCACACGGTCCATGCATCATTAGATCCGCTACTGCACTATAATAAACAGGGTCCTCGTTTTTGTCAGGAATTTCAGCTGAAATGATACGATCAATATCATTTGCAATTGGAAATTGACGGTCTTTGGCTAAGAAGAGTAATATGTGAGCATGTGGAAGTCCTCTCTTTTGAAACTCTATGGTGTATATAACTACAAAGAAATGTATTCATGTCATTACTCATATGATATCTTAGTGTAATTCTAATAGTAACATTTATTAAAAGAGCAAGTGACATAATAAATGAAGAAGGTATATATTACCTGCTTTAGCACGCCCAAAAATTTTATTCTCTCGGAGGTCTTTGATTAATCCATCCAACTTGACTTTGAAAACTCGACAAATAATATCGGCGCGATCTTCTGGATTTAGATTCCGTTTCTCAAGAAAGCGAGTGACCTCTGACCATTTGGGGTTGCACGTAAACGTTATAAATAAGTCAGGATATCCAGCCCAACGACATATCGCCATGGCATCTTGGTAATTCTGGATCATATACCGAGGTCCACCAGTAAATGAAGAAGGTAATATAACACGTTTTCCTTGGGTACGTGAGTCTGTCTCACCTCGCAGCAGTGCATCAGATAGACCTTTGTACAACTCACATCGTAGTTCTTGTTGATGCGTTTTAATATACTTTAACCTGCCGGCTTCCACCATTGTGTACGCATCAACAACAAACTGTTGGAATAGTCTTTTTGAGAACAATATGTTAGGTAATTCTTGATCTCGTTCATGCAAACGAAATGCAAAATACTCCCTAACACTGACAAAACGTCTTCCATCTGTTGTTGAATCCTTCGAAATAGCAAATGGAATGTCTTCTCGATATCCGTCTTCTCCATAAGGAAACAAAAGAGGATATTGTAAAGGAAGATATCCTGGATGAAGTTCATTGATGCGTTGCAAAGATCCAGAATGAGGTTGTAGCACAATATCCCTCCCGTCTAATGTTTCATCAAAGTCACCAACAATTAACGCAGCCACCTCAGATGTTGAAGGAAGGTTATACGTTCTAGCATCAAACCCCCGTTTGCCAATGAGTTTCAAACGAATGTTTAGCTCCCCCTGGTTAACTTTCTGACCAACCATTCTAAAGGATTTCACAAACACATTATTCTCATCCAACATTTGCTTCAAACCACTAACAATGTCGGTGTGTAGGGAGTCAATATCATCTTCATTCCTATTAAATAAGTACATCATATTATATATCTTAAATCTTAAGCGCATTCATTCATAGAAATATGTAGAAAAAGTATTATATGCTTAAAAAAATAATTGGTAAAACACTAACCTCACAGATTTGATACGATTCACCACCTCATTTGCAGTATCGTAAATGTACATTTGTGCAAATTTAGGCACCCCATTCTCCTCGGGCATTAAACTTCCAATCAAATGGTAATTTTGACCATGAAGTTTGAAAATCGGCGGAGAATTACCAGCGTTGTGACTAACATCAATCTTTCCTCCCATTGATGTGAACGAAAACATACTATTGTATGATCGTATGTTTCGTAAGAAATGCTTGCTCTTTTCATCATCACCAAATATAAGATCAAGGAGTACTTGAGGAGGAGTCTTCATAGGTGGCAATTTTATTTTGCCATGTTTACAACATAGAGAGTATTTTGGATTTTTTGATTTATAATCTGACCTCAATCTTTCATCATACCAAAAACATGCTCCACAAGATTGGCATTTATTAATGGGATCTCCAATATCCCAATATGGAATGTCTACATAATAAACATAGTGTAAAAACCCAATTAATTCATAAAAGTAGTAGCATAATAGTTCTAGGATGAATATTTACATAAGATTAATAATGCCATGAAATAATGTCATATGCAATACGTACCGGGGTGAGAAGAATAATGCCATTGTGGGAGCTCATTTGTTTGTGAGCTAGTTGAGGTTTGCAATGGAGCCACTGTTGAAATAATGTTTTTTATGCAAATCTATGAATATTTAGAGTGACACAATTTCTCTACTTCTTATAACAGAAATATGTAACATACCATTACTAATATCATTAAGGGGAGCATATGAAGAATGATAGTCATGACCATCACTTGTAGATACTCCACTTCGTGACGGAGCATTCAAATGACTCTCCATTTTTGTACGCTTTACTCTCATATTATCTACCTCATCTACATAACATTAAAATTTATATATACTTATCGTAATATATATTAAAGACTTTTATTTATAAGTTGAAAATAAATAATATATGTGAACGTACTATGTCAAGCACAAGCACAACAACACAGTGAGGAGCATCAAAATAGTTAGTTGATAATTAAATATAATGTAAAAATAGAACATGTAAACAATCTAAAATTCATCATTTTACAAATAAAAAAACACAGAGGATAAAATATCTTATGATTTTGGTCACTATATAAACATTTTTTGTTTATTACACTAATTAGTCAACATCTTAACCAAACACGTAACTTGATTTCGCGGGCTTAATTATGTAATAATAAGAAACAGTAAGGTTGGAGTTACTTTTTTGGCTGTGCCGGGTGAAATAACTGTAGAAGATCATTTCAGCTATGTGTTCATATTTTTTTATTTAATTTATTAATACAATTTATTTTAAACACAATTTTTTATAAATCAATAGAATCAGTCAATCCGGCCACTTTAATCAGAACTTTAAAATTTTTAGTAGAATCAATCGATTAATTCAATTGCAGTACTATCAAACGGGGCTGAAAAATTCAATCTAACTGTTTAGGCCGTTGTGAATGCAATTGTAAAATAGTGGTCAATATCTCTCCCTATCTTCTACTAATTCAAATTTGGAATTCATCTATAAATTCACAGCCCATATCAGTTCAGCCCATTTATATTTTTTGGTTGGTATCCGTAGGAGTATATATACACAAAATTACTTAGAGGACACCAGCAATCACCCCACTTCACTCTCACACTACCACACGGCTCTCTCACTTCACTCACACGGCTCTCTCACTTCACTCTCAGAATGCCGCACAGCTCTCTGGAACTCTCCAGAGCTCCACACCGACCACATTTCACCATCTTCACTCAACAGTCAGATACACTATCATCCTCACACAACTCACCATCAACACTGTCATCCTCCAACACTCTTACCGTCACTATACATTAGATGGCCAGGTCCATCCGTGCTTCGAACCAACATCTTGACATCCTCCGTCTCCTGTCGACATTCCCGTTTCATCCTTTAATCGGTACACTTTATTAGTATTTTTTTGTTTATTCAATACTTATTTCATTATATTGGACTTGAATAACGTTTTCTTTTTAATTGTTTTATGTTATTTATAAACACAACTCCATTTCAGTGAGTCGTGAGGACGGAAGCTGATCAAGGAAGGCAGAAAGCTTTCAGATCCGTGGACGCTTATTTCTAGCAGATGATAAGTCCAAACATTTTTTCGGTCTAATCCTCTTACATTATCTTGGATGCCTTATTTTTTGTTATCTATTGATGGTTTATAACACTTCAATCTTTTAACTTTTGCTTATACTTATTTTTCCTACGCTTATTTTCGTTTTTTTATCTGTATTTTTTTAAGTACATACTGTTTTTTACAATTAAAGGACATTTCTTATAAAAAATAAGATATACAAATGGATTTCTACATTCAATATTTGAAGTTCCAAAATCATTCCATTTCACTGTTTAATTACTTATTTGATTTGTGTAATTGTGTCATCATAACTGGTAAAAGGGTGTTTTCATATGTCATTTTCTTATATTTATTTGGCTTGTTTTCATTTCCTTCATTTATTTAGCATGACACTGAAGCTGAGGAAACTGAGACACCCTAACCTGAAGAAGGAATCCGAGGGTGAAATAGAAGTCAGCACTTTATTTGATGCTTGTTTTTTGCGAATGAAAATAAGCAAACTTTATTAATTCAAAATGTCATTAGCCAAATGGCTATGATCTGCCCTGCATCTCACTCTAACTCTTTGACTCTAATATATTTTCCTTTTTTATAACATAATTTGCAAATATATAATTTTATTTGTTAGACTTATTATTTGATAAACATCAATAGTTTATATTCTTTCATTGATTTAGCTTTTGGTAACGAATATTGTTAATAGGCTTACTTATCTTAATTGTTTTATTTTTTATGAACACAGCTCCATCTCGGCGACTGGTGAGGACAGGAGCAGCTTAAGGAAAGCACAAAGCTTACATCTGTGGACGCCCATTTCTGCTGTATGGTTAGGCCACATAGTTTTTGTGTCTAATTCTTTCACAGTATCCTCAATTACTCATGCTTTAATAACTCTTGATTCTTATTTTGATATATTGGTGAGTTTTGTGGAGGCAGCCTGTCAACCGAGGTAGTGAGCTAAAAGATTCACATTCAAAGACGATTACTCTTAAATATAGCAAGTCAGGTTAGAGTTATAGTACTAATTTTCCAATTATTTATTCATTGTCAATTGAATGAAGATTTCTACTCTCATTTTTTATTTTTTATGACAGAAGGGGGTAGTCAAGGCTAAGAATATGGTCAATATGGTCAAGCCTAAGAATCTGAAAGCCAAAAATGTGGATGTGTAAGGTAGATGTCGCTTGCTTCTGCTATACTTTGTAATACTATTTAAAATCCATTTTTTTAATTTGCTTTTTATCAGAATCCATTTAGTTTGTACTACTATTTAAACTATATCTTTGTTGTATAATGAGATTCGTTTTGTACTTTGCAGATTGATAAAACCACTTAACTTTTGTAATATTAGGAAATAGGAATGTTTATGACTAAAATTATTAATACTCTTTCAAAAGCTTTTAACTTTGAATTCATCTTTGGTTTAAGAAGTCTACCTATACAAATTCACGTCAACATCATTGTTTGGATAACGTTTATTTATTTCTATTTCCATGTTATCTTATTCGTTTTTATTATGATGAAGACTCCAGACAAATTGCAAAAAAAAAAAAGACTCCAGATATGTTTTTGTTAAAAAATCAACCTATACAAAGTCACGAAAACATCATTGTTTAGCATTTCTTTGTTTCTATATCCTTATTAGTTATTATCTTATGTAGTTTGGTTATGTTTTATATTCAAGTTTTGTTTGATTGAACTAAGTCAGTCTTTACTTTTTATAATGATTAATTTTCATTTAACAGAATGATTTTTCATTTTTCTATGTACTCTTTGTCTCATCCTGATGAACCTATATAAACACCTTTTCAGTATTAAAAATAGTTTCACAATCTAAAAAACAAAAATCTCGAAACAAAGAATAATATCTAATATCTAGAACCATCATGAACTGTTTTTCCATCTACCCGCTTTATGAACAAAACTTGAATATTACACCGAATATGTCAACAAATGTACATTAGGATTAAATAGTGAGTTATTAAGACACCTTGAATGTTCTCGTTGCATCTCTTTTTCTGAATAACTTTATTCCCCGGGAGAATGATAGAACTTTGTGTAAGCTTTTTCATTGGTAACAACCAAGCTGGTTCCTCATAATTTCTATGCTATTTTGATTTAGGTAATGGATTATGGCATAGTGAGTCGGTAGTATTTGAACAGTTTTGTTTCTAACTTCTTTATCAAAACTGCCCCACTACTCCTTAATAACCAATCCCACATAATACGTGTCTAATATATTATAAAATATTTGTTTTGTTTTGCAGGCCCACTTTTTTTATTCTTTATTTTTTCGTTTTTTTCATTACAATTTTAGACAAATTGTAATTATATGGTGCCCTTTTTTGTAATATTTATTTTTTATAGAATAGGAAGTGCAGGTTCCAGCATCCAGGTAGCAGCTACCACACCAAGGTATGATTCCATGCACCTTTGATCTATAAAAATTGTGTTTTATTTGTTTAATTGTCCTTCGTTATTTTTTAAAGTTTGAAGTACATACTTTTGCAATCACAAAACCACATGAATTTTACTGAAAAATCAAATTAATTTATTGATTTTATAATATTTTATATGTAGAACGACATACGCATGTTTAGGCTGCAGAAAATTGCACAACCAAAGTTTTTTATTGTTTAGTATTTCACAATAGAAACATTAATTTTGCATAGTCACAATTCATAACTTTAAAACATAACAAATAGTAAGGTGTCATTAGAAACACAAATTTGAATTAATTGAAATAGCATACTTAGTTGTAGACCCAATATTTACAACACACTGAATTTAGGGAAATAACTATATAAACAACACTTGTGTTCTAAACACATGCTTAGGGAATGGAAAAACTTAAAACAACTTGGTGTGTTCTAAACACACGCTTTGGGAATGGAGAAACTTAAAACAACTTGTTGTGTTCTAAACACACGCTTAGGGAATGGAAAAACTTAAAACAACTTGCTGGGTCTGACAAATAAATAAATCCTAGAGAAGTGCAAAAAACATCAGGCCTTTTCAATCTTCACACGAACTCCCTTGGTTTTTTTGGCCACAACCTTCTTCTCTTCCACTTCAGTTGCTGGTCTTTTGCCTCTGGAAATATCAGACTCGTAGTGGCTGAGAGTGTCTGTTGTCAGGTCTATGGGTTCCTGATCGTTTGGTCCGTCTTCTTGACTCTTTTCCATGTCATTAGCAACTGCTTCTTGATCCTGTGTAGTTTTAGTAATTAGAACATTCGTACTATTCTAACATTTTAGAGTTGTCATTGAAGTACATTAAAACTAACTAATATCAATATGTTTACAAATTATTATCTTTTACTCACGTTAACATGTGAAGACGTAGCCTCTGAGCTAGAAGCCTGGGAACATTCCCCAATGTGCTTGGAATCATCACAATCCTTGGTTTTGACTTTAACAACACTAAAAGCCTGTTCCCCTTTCTTTGAGTTTTCACTTTGGACTTGTACCAAACACAAAACTTTCTTTTCAATCAAATTGAAAATCTCAATGGGGGTGTCATCATCCTCTTTGTTTTTCTGTAACAGTTTCATGATTATGCGCAGTCACCAATATTATAGCTTGAATATATATTCATATTTGTTAGGCTTCCATACCATTTCATTCACAAATTGTGCAACCTTTTTACCCAAAAGTTCTTGGCTAGCGTTATCCCATAGAATAAGTGCTGCGTTTCCACTTTTATCCATTACGCGAATCTTTAACTTATACCTACAAACATAACATTCTTATTTGGTTTGAAAAATAGTTAAAGTAATTTTGACTATATGTATGTATATGTACTTCATCTTTCTTACAAACCTCATGACAGCTTCATTCGTTTTGCAATTTGGGTTAAGGCATGCAAACCTACCGCACTTTGGTGCAACCTTTCTAGCACACTCTTTACATGCCAAGTACCACCAGCCCTCACCCAGGTCAATATCTATGATTTCCCCAGATATCCAAAAACGTCCAACCTACATAAAGCCATAGTAACATAAAAATTGTGTATTATAAATTCTTAATTGTCATGCATAATAATATTACCATTTCCTTCTCAAAAAGTGAGTCAATAGAGACTATTTCATCATTGTTTGTGTTGACTTCATCAGTCTCATATGAAGTGACCACAATTGGAGTTCCAGTGAACCCATTGTCCCCATGTATGTCAAACCTGTAAATGGCTTCATTAGTAAAATTTAAAGGAGGGTTTTTATAAATACAACGTTATATTTTTACCCTTACCTGTCTCTGTAGTCATTGAGCTCTTGGTCACTGCCGTTGATAATCAGCTTGGTTGCAAAGTATGAATTTGTTGCCGAAAGTTCCCCTGTAGAGAATATGTAGCTATGTGTGAGGTCTAGAAACCAATAGCACCTAAGGACAATAGATAAACTTGTACCTTTGTAAACTTTGGGTTTGCAAAAAAGAATGGCGGCCAACATGAAATTGGGATACTTCTCATGGTTTTCTTTGATTACATCAACAAATGGGCCCCATAGTGTGCACTTAAATGTCCTTTGCCTGCCGATTAGGTTTTTTTTAATTATATAACATAACTTTGGGTATTCTTAAAAAGTAAAGGTCAAAGAATTTGATAATTACCCATGATCCTCAAGCCCAATCTCACATAATTTCTGGCATTTTCCATTGAACTCATGTGGTCTAGGGTAATGGATTGACCTGATGCTGCCGATGATATCTGTAGAATAACATTTCATTGGGTTAGGGTTAGGTACATCTTACAGTAGATTGAAAGAATTTAAAAATATACCACACATACCAAACAATTCAAATTCGTCGACTTGGTTAACATGTGCAAGGCGCACAAATGGCCCGAAGTTGAACATGAAAGAAGGGAAGTTGGCATCATCGTAATCAACCATCGTTGTTTTATGGTTGAAAAGGATTTTATATGTCAGGGTGGTAGTCTTGTATTTCAAGTCGTTCGGAGTGACAATAAAATTCCTTAAGCTGTACAAATTTCCTTCCTTCATCTTTGCTTTAAATTCCATGATCCTCTCACGACGGATAGTTGCATGAACTCGGTCACCCTGGATGTATAAGTCATGTTATTCTCTAGATTAAAGGAAAAAGAGAACATGTTAGAGTTGCTCTTAATTTATACCTCAGAATCATGGAACACGCATTCCCATGTATTTGTGACGTTCTTGTTAGAGAATGACGGAGTTGCATATGCCCGGATCAGCCTAACTCTTAGGGCCCAGTTAGTCCTTGACTTGTTGATTTCCTTCACTTTGTCGTACATCATCTCGGTAACTGTTTGCTTGAACACACTCAGAATAAAATCGTTCTTTGCCAATGGAGAAATACTTCACGCCATAGGTTTATTTATAGCACTGAATAGTGGTTTATACAAAGCCTGATATCGTACGTGTGTAGTGGGTGGTTAATAAGAAGTGGTAGAAATCGCCATAGGCAATAAAATGCATCATGTGTACTGTTTGATTTCATAACGTGTCACAACCGTTACTATGAAATTTGATGGTCCTGGATAGGGTAAAAGTCTAGAGGGGGGGGGGGGGGGGTGAATAGACTTTTAAATCTTTTTCAACTTTTTCAAGTTTTTGCCTCTAGATGAATTGATCTATAATCTTTTGAGAGATTAATAGATGCACAGCGGAAGTCTTTACCCTTTTTCTAATGAGTGTGTGACAACTTTCTACCTTGAATGATGTTTGGACTTTAAACTGTGAGCAGTTGGCTTGGCAGTTGGCTAGATGGCAGGGAACTGCTGAGGCAACTGCCAGTTGAAAATAGGAGTTTGAGAAAGATGATAATATGGCCTTGCAGAGAATGATGAGGGCTTTCTGAATATATGTTGAGCTGAAGATAGTAAAGAGTTTTGCCTGAGCAGTGGTCTGAGCAGTTGGGTAATCCCAGGAAACTGCTAAGCCGTCTGCTGCTTATAAAGAGGTATCTTTGAGGACTGACCAACCACACCTTTTAGTAGTGATATTTAAAGCTTGTGGGAAACAGAAGTCTCAAGGAAAAGTGAGTTATTAAGCAGTAGGATAAGCAGTAGAGTCAATTAAGACGACTGCTTAGGATGCTGCTGGCAAACTACGATCCCTTTAGTGAGAAGTGTTGAGTGTGTGCTTTGGTGAGTAAAGGAGAATCAACACACGATGTATCCTGGTTCAGAGGTGGTGTAATCCTCCTACATCCAGTCCCACCCTATTTCAGATGGATTTCCACTAAAGTATTAAGCCCAATACACTTAGTGCCAATCTAGCCTTTACAACACTTAGGCCTAGATTGAAGGTTTTTCACAATGAGTATAACACCACTCAAAGTTACTCAGTCCTTAGACTTTTCTCAATTGATCCAGTGGGGATCAAAAGGTACTCTATCTATCTAACTACACTTTAGGATCCGAACAACTGTTCTCCTAAGTGTTTACAACCACTTGTGAAATGTTACAAGAAAGTTCTAACCTCCAACTATGAACTAAGCTCTAAAAATGTGAAAGTGTTGATCTAATCTAAGAGCTTAGTGAAGCATGAGGCTAAGCAGAGAGTAAAGTTGAGTTTGCACTTTCTCTTTTTGCTAGATAGCTTCGTATATGCTTTGATGAAAGTATTTCTCTGCTTAGAATGCTCAAGCTTGTTTTTGAACTCATGCTTCTACCTATATTTATAGGCCTTCATGGTTGATCAATCTCATCCGTTGGTTGAGATGGATTAATCTTGTGCGTTGAGGGTCTGGCAAGGACGAATTGTACATTTGTCTTCTTGTGCAGGAGCTTTTAATATTTTTGTTTTCTTTCTTGAATGATTGGGCTGCGGTATGGGTGTGTCTTCAGCCGCTGCAGCTTCACTCCAAGAAGTCCTCCCATGCTGTAGGACCGTGTATTTAATTTTTGTCTTCCAATCAATATTCAATGTATTCGAGCATCTTAAATGTGACCTATACTTAATCTTTGAGTAAAATGATATATGCCGGTAGGATTTAAATATCCTATGAAGGTAAAAAGATACCTTATTGCATTTTTATGTATCCGGTAATATATCATTAATCTTAAAGATTGTACATTTATTTTTGTCACTTATGATTTAAATTTAAATGTTACTTCTGAAAATAAGACTCAATGTAAATTTGTTTAGTATAGTGGCATCATCAAAATCTATCAAAATTGGAGACTAACAATTTCCCCCTTTTTGATGATGCCAAAACTATACAACACAAGAAACAACTGTTTTTATTGATTCGTATTGAGAGTATTGTACATTGGTCTATAGTCTAAATTACAATAGTTTTTAGTCACTTTCGGACTTGAGAACTGATCTATTCTTGTTTCTTCTTAGCAGCTTCTTCCTTGGCTTTGGCTTCTTCTTCCTTTCTTCTTCTTATCTCAGCTTCTTCTTTGTAGAGTTTGTTTTTTCTTCTTGTTGCAGCTGCTTTCTTTGCTGCTGCTGATCTGGAGGAGGAGGAACCTGCTTGAGTTGTCCTTTCCCCCTTTTTGGCATCATCAGCAGGGGTCTCACTCTCTTTGAAGAGTGCTTCTATTTCTGGGTCAGAGTCAGGATCTTCAATTTGCCTCCTTGATGGATCCAGACCATATACTTCGATGGACAGGGCCTTGATATGATTATTGACGTCCAAAAGATCTGTTTTGACTTCATCTTTGACCTCATTCTCTAATCTTTGAAGCTTGTCCTGTGTAGCTACTAGGCTCTGACCTAGTTTCTGAAAGTCAGACCCTTGCTTCCAAAAGGTGTCCTGAGTAGCCTTTTGAAGAACTTGAAAGTTGTGAGCAACGTCTTTAGTGAGCTGTTCATAGGCTCTAGCATGAGCCTGCTGGTCCATAAGGAATTTCTGAGAGAGCTTGAACATGGCAGGGAACTCCTCATTCCTTAGTTTCAGGAGGTACTCTTCATGTTCTTGAACCTGTTTAAGAGCCTGATCGAGGGTAGGTGGAGGAGAAGTTAGGGAAGGTACCTGATCAGATGGTCCTGCTACAGTTGGCTGATCTTTTTGTTGCCTTTGAAGTTCTAGTATCTGTCTTTCGAGATCCTCATTTCGGGCTTTGAGTGCATCAAGCTCCTGCTTGATCTCTGTATTAAGAGCTGACTGGTGGGAGGTTCTTGTTTTGAGGAGAGCTCTTTGCTCAGCATGGAATACTTGTTGGATCATGGAGTCTTTTCGTATATGACTGTGGATTTCTCCAAATCTGATGTCCAACCTTTCCTCTAGCTGCTTTTTCATCTTGATCAGTCTTTTGTGTAGTCGGACCTCTGCGCGGCTAATGAATTGTGTGGTAGCCCTTCTTTCTTTGATGAAGACACCTGCCAGGGTAGTAGTGTCTTCTTCATTGTCTTCAGGTTCTAGGATGAATGTTGGAGAGTGTTGCTCTATGTTTTGAGTAGATGCTTGAGAGTGTGCACTAGACTCCTGCTCTTGATCTGCAGTGGGCTGAGCAGTGGGTTGAGGTGGAGTAGTGGCAGCATGTTGCTCAGTGGGTTGTTGATCTTCTACCTCCATTGTTCTGGAGGTTTCTCCACCTCCTTTTGTCTCAAGTAGAGATCTGTGTAGAGCTATTTGGAGTTCTTTATCACTGGAGGAGGAGGAAGAGATGATTTGTTTACCTCTACACTCTGGAGAGCCATTTGGAGCAGTGGTGTTGTCATTATCATCGAGATCATCATCATCATCGGTAGAAGGTTCTTCTTGTGACTTACCGGTTAGTTGTTTCTTTTTCGTGAGGTAGACTAGATTCATTTGGTGAAGATTTGTGGCCTTTGCTAAGTCTTCAGTGCCAAGCCAGGTGAGAGCAAAGTACTCTTCACTGATGAACTTTGTTAGGGTCCTGGCTTGGTGAAGAATTTTGGAGAGTTTCCATTCCCTCCAAGCCTTGACTCTTGCCCATTCAGCCTCTAATCGTTGCAGAGGAGTAGGAGAGTGATCTGTTGGTGAAGGTGGAGTTGTTTGCTTGTGGAGCTGATTTTGCTGGTCTATCTTTGGAGAAGTCACCTGCTCTTCCTGTTGAGTCCTCTGCTCTTCTATCTGAGCAGGTTGGTCTTCTTGCTGTTGTATTGTTGGATGAAGAATGGAGAGCGGAATGGCCGAGCTGTTGCTAGCATTGGACGAGTTGGAAGAGGACTCTGCATCCTCTTGAATTATGGTGAGAGGAGAGCCTTCGGCTGCATGCATAGATGATGCTGCTTCTTCCATTTCTCTGTGTAGATTCCTGGTTGCTGTCCTTGGCCTTTTTGACTGTGGTTCTTGACACCCAGATCGTAGTCTTTTGGTGGTCTTGGTATCAACTTTGAAGGATACCAAGAGGAGGTCGTTGGAGAGGAAGGAATCATCATTCTTTGGAATTTCTGGAGCCCCTACCTTGGAAGTTTGGAATAGGAATTTCCTCCAAGTAGTTGCCTCTTTTCTTGTGCCCAGTATACCCTTCTTTTTGAGTAGTTCTCCGATGAGGAATCCGTAGCCCAGTAATGGTAGAGATCCATCCTCCTTTCTTCCTGCGTGTGATTTGGTCACATAGCGTTTGAGTTCATGAGAGACATATTTGGTCCAGTTGTATGGAGTTCCTGAGATGATGGCGGCTAATGGCTTTGCCCTTTGTGCATTGATCTCATCAAGTGCTGTGGTCCTTGAGTCAATACATTTGTAGAGGATGTCTAGGAGAATATCATATTCTTGGACCATTAGCTTCTTCTTTATCTTGAGAGTACTGAGATTTTGAGCTTTTGGTAGGAAGACAGTTTCTTTGAATGCTGTTTCGTCTAAGAGGAAGTTCTCTACTTCTGGGGCTTCGTCACCAGGAAGAGAGAGCAACTCCTTAATATCTTCTTCTTGTATTTCCACCTCAACTCCCATAACTACTGATTTCAAAGTGTCTGGGGTTGAGTTGATGTAGAACTCTGCTACCACTTCGGGATAGAAGTGGGAGTATGTGAAGGTTGCCATTTTTATGAGCCCGGTTGTGTCAAGCTTCCTTAGGAGCTCCCTCATAAGATCACTGTTGTTTGCTCTTTCAAGTGCTTTGGAGGTGTTTAAGATGGAGCCACTGAAAATGGACTTAGAGATTTTGGTGAGTGAGGCCATTTGTGGGTTTGTGAGAAGATTTGGTGATTGCGGAAGTGGTGTGTTTGAGAGTTTTTGGAGAAGGCTTAGAGAGTGTATGAGAGCTTGAGAGATGTAGAGAGATTGCAAGGTGAAAAGTGTTGGTGGATTGTACGGAGAAAATATTTATAGGCTATCGGGTACTAGCCGTTGGAATATAGCCGTTGGAAAATACGGCTGGTTCCTTCTAGCATTTATTGAGTTTATACTGGTAGCAGGGGGCTCTGGCTTGGGTAAATTTGATGTTCTTTGAAATCCTTGATATAGGGAGATCAAGATGATATA